TTCCTTTTTTCCTTTTTAAATATTTTTCTTGTTCTTCACTTTGAGAACGGGCTTCGACTGAACCCTGAGGCTTTTAAAATATCCTATTTGTAATTATCTCTTTCTGTAGAACTCTTAAAGCACTCTATCATAATTCTCATTATAATAGTAGGTTCATGAGGAAAAGCATAGTCATTCATAGCACAATATCACTTCAGCTTTTAAATACACTGTTCAAACAAATATTTGAAACATTTTTACATTAATGCAAGAATTAAGTTGTTATACATATAGAAGGGTCAGGTTGACAGGCAGGATCGCCAATGAGGAAGAGTTAAGGAGAACAGGACAAAGCAGTCACAGAGGAGGTAGAAGAAGACGGGGCCAATGGAATGGACATACTCGCAGGAGGCCAGGCAGCTGCCTAACAAAAAAAGTGTCGGATTGGAATCCCCGTGGTAAGAGACCAAGGCGAAGGTCAGGTGAAACCTGGACAAGTCATAGAGAACAATGTGCAGAAAAATAAGGAGACATGGAATAATATCCAAGAAGCCAGCCTGGGATAGGGGAATATAGAAAGTCTTTGTTTGTGGTCTTTACCCTAATCCAGAGTGAGAAAGGCATTGATGATAATGATGATGATAATTATGATGATGATGACATAAAACTATATACATACATTTCATGACAGGTTTTTTTTCTGACTGGCTGCACAAAATGAAATCAAACTACCATAAGTGTCACTTCTTATTGTTTGATACCAATTAAATTAAACCTGTTAGACTTTCTACATTTTAAAGACATTTCAAATGTTATGAACAAAGTATAAGACTTTAAAATATAGACTTAATTTTTTTAGCCTCTACATTATTAAAAAAATATGGTACATTTGTTGGAATATTACATTGCAATATATCACAATTATTTCATGTAAACCTTTGTATCATCAGTAAATCAAAACAAAAAGCCTCTAGTTAAAATTCTATTAACCTCTTTTATTAAGTTACGGCCAAGGTCGGCAACAAAAATTCAATATTTTCTTCAATTATATGATTTTCCGTTTACGCCATATTTTTGTTCCATATCCACTTATTCATTGTTAGAAATACATTCTAGAGCGTAAAATTGACCACATGTCCATAAAAATGCAATGTCTGGAAACATCCTGACAACATGAGGCAAGTGCTTTATTGTACGTAGTCTAAACAGCCGTATGCACTGCTCACCGTCGAACGCTCCGTATCCCGGACTCTAGCATGGAGATCATCAGGAGAGAATGCGTTGCTGTTTCGGGCTCTTCCTCTCTACAGCTTTTCTGACGCACCGAGCCCCCTCACCGATGTGAGGTCTCCATGTTAGTTCGACTGTTTTCCTCTGCTGCCAACTTTAGGATTCATTCCAGCTTGAGTCCTCTCGCTTCAACCAGATCCAATGACTGGCTTTCTCTGCTGTCTCCTGAAGGGAGTTTGTGAGTTCGTTGCTTTTCTTTGCAGTAAGTCCTGCCACTCTCATCCACTTACGGGCGCTTGTTGCTACAAAACCTCTGCATCCTACCTCTACCGGAAAATGGGTTGCCTTCCATCCTGCCTCCTCACATTGTTCGACGAGTGCCTCGTAACGGTTTTCTTTCCGCTCATGAGCGGCATAGATATTGTCCTCGTGGGGCACCGTGAGCTCTACCAAGTGTACCTCTTTGTCTTTTTCCTCCCATAACACAATGTCTGGCTTTTTCGTAGTTGGAATGGGGAAGAATCTCTCAAAGCCTTTTAAGTCAGCAGCTACTTCCCATGTGCCTCCGCTCTGGTCTTTCATGGCTTCGTTCACTTTCTTTCTTTTGGCAACCTTGCTTCCTTGCGGAACGAACGCAATCTTGGTGGGTCCATGCTTCTGTATCTTGGGGGCATATTTTCCTTCTTCCACCTGTTGTGTCGCCATTTTCGTGAGCACTTTCAACACCTCGTTGTGCCTCCAGGTGTATCTGTTAAGAGCCAGGTTGCAGTTTGACAAAATATGCTTCATGGTTCCTAGCTTACCGCATCTACACTTGTTGTCCTCCTGTACCTTCCATCTGACAAGGTTCACCGGTGAAGGCAGAACATCATACGTAGACCGGAGAAGAAAGCTCAGCCTTGATGTATTCCACTTCCAGATGTCACTCCACCCGACTTTTCTTTCCACTACATGCTCTTCCCATCTGGTCATTTGTCCTTGCTGGCTACACTGGATGAGATGAATTTCTCGCCTCTCTGCCTCCATCTTTTGCATATGTCTTGTTGCAGCTTTTCTTCTGTCTCGCTGAGACATTTTCCTGAAAGGTCTAAAGTCGCCATTACCTAGCCCTAATCTGTCAGGTTGCGCTGGACCGACAATGTCCCCATGCTCCAATGCAGAGATGATCTCGTTAGCTGCAACTTCTGCCTTCCACTTTCTGGCTGTTTTGACATCTGGAGGTTTTCCACTGATCTCCTGATCCCTTGATTCTCTCAACATCAAAACGGTTCTAATCTTGCCTGCTTTGTAGATCTCCACGATTGACGTGAGAGGTAGTTGAAGCGCACCTCTATGTCTGTACAGGGATGACGTGTTAATGGTACGGGGTAGCCCCAGCCACTTCCTGATGTAGCTGTTACACTTTCTTTCGATCATCTCAACTCTTGACAAAGCAACTTCATACATTGTCAGTGGCCACGCCAATCGAGGGTAGAGGGCAAACTGTAGACACCATATCTTGTGCTTTCCTGGAAGCTTTGTCTGGTCAATTGCTTTCAGCCCATTTTCAGCCTGCTTCATGATTTCCACGCCTTGACTTCTATCACACAGAGTTCCTGAGTACCAACGACCTAAACTTTTCACGGGTTGTTCTTTTACTGTGGGCATTTGCTCCCCTGCAATTGTGAACTTCAGTTGCTTCTGTTTTCCTTTGTTAATAGTCAGGCTTCTAGACTTTTTAGCTTTAAACTTCATCCTGGCCCAGGTGATAAGCTTATCGAGCCGATTCAACACATTTTGCATTGTGTCTCCATCTCTTGTCAGTAGGGTCACATCATCCATAAAGGCTTTCTTTGGTGATCTCACCTTTGCTTCTTCTTCACAGCATTCTGCAGATCTCAGTAGCATCTCCATTACCAGGATGAACCAGATGACCGATATAGAGCAACCAGCTGCAATCCCAATCTCTAGTCGGTGCCATTCCGTTGTGAAATTTGCGGTTGAGAATCGCATCTGGAAGTTACTATAGTATTCTCTCATAATGTTTTGCACCTCTTGTGGGACGTAGAAAAAATCCATTGCCTTCATCAGCAATTTATGGGGAACAGACCCGTAGGCATTCGCCAGATCCAACCACACTACGTTTAAACTTTCCTTGTTTTTCTTGGTGAAAGCATGCTCGATGCAGCCTGGGATCCCTGGTACCCCAGCTTTCTGTACCGTTTCATCCACATAGCCGTTACTTTGCAAATATGCTACAGTCCTCTTTGCAAGTATTCCCATAAAGATCTTGCACGTCACGTTAATGATTGAAATAGGTCTGAACTGTCCTATCACCTTTGCATTCTGTTCTTTGGGTAGATACACGCCCTCCGCTCTGCACCAATCTTTGACGATTTCTTTGTCTTTCCAAAGGCCTCTTAGCATCTCAAAGAGGGTGTGTCTCAGCGTGTCGCAATACTTGAACACCTTATAAGACACGCCATCTCCTCCAGGTGCACTCTTTGCTCTTGCTTTTTTTACGAACTCATCTACTTCTTTCTCTCTAATTGGTCCCAGGTAATATTTGACGACGGGGGCAGCTGGACGCTTCAGGCCTCTCATATAAGGAAGCGGTTCTTCTCTTCTCGAATCGCTGTACGTCTGCTTAACATAAGCATCGAGTTCCTCTTTCGTACATTCCAATTTACCACTCCGTGCCTCTGTGAACAGTTTTTTGGCTGCTTCATAAGGATTCTTCAGAAATCGTTCACGTTCCCTTTTTCTCTCTTTTCTCCTGGTACACCTTCTTTCGTGCCTCTGTAGGTCTCTGCTCTTTTTCTTAAGATCTTCAAACAAGATTCTTAGGCCTTCTATCTCTTCTGGTGGTGCGTACTTTTTCTGCTTTTGCAAGTCTCGTTTCTGTTTTCTTAGCTGTGCAAGTACTCTCTGCCTTCTACTCAATCCACTTTTCTTCTCCGTCTTTTTCTTTCCTTCACAAATACCAAACTCTTTTATTGCCGAGTCATAGATAATGGTCGCAAACGCATTCAATATTTCTTTAGCATCCCCTCTGTTAGAACTCTTTTTGACTTCTTTCAATTTCTTCTGGACTTCTTCTTCTAACGTCTTGTATTTTGCCTTCTCGTTAGCAGCAGGCCACAGTATTCTGGGTTTCCGTAACCCTGGTTCCGTTTGCTGTTCCATCTCTTGCTGAGACAGGGTGAAAGGAGAGTCGACTGAAGCACTAATCGCTCCGCTGTGGTTTTCATCCTGGGATGATTTGCTTCGCGTCTTACAATCTGACGATCTGCACTGTCTTCACTTCTTTAAACAGACTTTTCCCTGGTACACTCTCAGCCCTCGCCAGGTATCGAACTTTCTGTAGCACTGCTCGCACATAAAGCTGTTCTCTTGATTATCTTTCAGCATTGTCCTTTTAACGCTTAGGTCATTGTCCATTGAATCCGTCCTTGTGGATCCATCCTCTACTCCCCCCTCTCGGTAGATCCCGGGGCTGTCTTTTCTATTGGTTGACGTAACTTAAATTTACAGTGACCTGGGTAGTTAGCCCCTGCCACCGTCGGTCTTTCCCAACGTCCTCGGTCTTTCCCGATGTCCACCCGTCACTCCGGGTTGTCGTCCTGTCTTTCCAGGATAATAAAAGATAATTTTCTCAAATAACACTTTTACTGCACTTGAAGTTACAACTCTCTTGTGTGGTGTGTGTGACATACTTAAAATTTACACAATGTGTACACTAGCATCTAATACAGATTTTGTCTCATCGATTCGATAAAATACTGGAAAGTTTTTTAACATGATTTTTTTTAAAATTTTTGGCAGGGGCCTATAATTGTGTAATAGACACACAAATTCTGATAATTCGTTTAAAAGACAGTTATTCATTTATTTATTAGAGAAAAAAATGTGAAAAAATGTTCCTGAGGTCGATAGTTATATGTGTGCCAACATTCATGACTCTGAAATTGATAACAACTGAAAAATGCCATTGAAATAGACCCCAAATCCCATTCCAAGATGTCGACTGTTTTTACATGTTTCCAAGGCAACCAAAGCATTTTTGTAATTTTAAAAAACGTATCAGGAAGGAAGGAAATCTCAGTGAAGTATGGTTATGACAAATACATGGATGGAAATTTATGTCTAGCTTTCTGTTTTCAATGTAGACCTTGGTCTTAAGTAGTCCAGAGCCTCGAAGTGTCGAATTGAAAGGAATCATCAATTCTATTCCCACACATGGCACATTTCTTCATTATATATAGCAGTACACTCTCTGCACAAGAGGGCGACTGTTTTTACACGTTTCCAGGCGATTAAAGCATTTTTGTAATTTAAAAAAATGTATCAGGAAAGAAGAACATCTATGTAATGATCAATTATAGTCTCACATATGGTACATTTTTTCATTATAGCAGCACACTCTTTGCAGTAGCTGACGTGTCTGCAAGGCAGATTCAATGTTTCTGCCGTACCTCCAAGGCACGTCTTGCAATGAGAATTCCCTGTTGCAAAAGAAAGAAGAGAATACTTGATATTAATCAATTTAACAACTATCCTCATCGTCTTCATTATAAGTATCCATACTAGTATCATCATCACTTATAATTACACTTATTGTTCAAGGTGACTGCCACACTGGCTGTGCAATTATAAACGGTGGGAGGGCTGTGATTCATTGTCCAAGGGTACATTACATAATATATGGTATTAAAATACACACACACACACGCACACATGCATACCTACCTAATATCAAGATTAATCTACATCATATTCTTTAATATCTATGGATCATCATCATCATCATCATCACCATCATTAATGTAATCCTCAAAGGTATGCAATTTAAAAAAACAAAATAACATTTACTTCCAAGCAATCTTTCTGTTTATTTATCTGAACAATCTAACAATAATGACCACGGGAACACATTTTACTCACAACTTACAAATGTTCAGCACCAAATCAGGACATGAGACCAAAAAAAAACTATTTATTCTAAAGAAAATAACTAATAACTATAACACAGAACCCTATCAGACCCAACTGCCAGAAAGATGGTTTCTCCTGTGAAGCTACTGAACCCCTGTAAAGTTACCTGGCCGTCCGATGAGTCGTGGTCTGTCAGGGGGCCCCCGTCCAGGATCGATGCTGTCTTGTCGTCGTCCTGTGTTTGACTGACTCTCAGACAACGTCGGCCTATTTCCCGCCCCTCAATGTGACGTCATCCAAGGGCGTGCTACTCCTTTAATTATCTTGTCCCCATAGCAATGATAAGAGTCATGTCCCATGACATCACAAACCCTAAGCACGGAAAAATAGTCACCTCTCTTATTTCTCTTCTTTACATTACTCCCCACCCCCTTCAGGCCCCATATCATATCTCTGTCTCTACACTCATGTCTTCTAATTACGGCTTCCATATTTCCCTTTTTCTCCTGCCCCTCCTCCCTCAATCAAAAATCAAAACACTGTTTAAGAACAGCACTTACGTATCCTTATTCTTCTATTTTCTCGCTCCTCTTGTGAATCCCGAGTCATTCCTCTATAGTTGCCATCATCACGAGGGATATGTTGATCATACGCCCGGCTCATCCTAGTCATGTTCTGCAATACAAAGCAGAGTACATTCACACAACTTCCAATTTCATCCTACAAAAAAGCAGAGTACAGTTACTGAATTAGTGAAGTTGGGAGGACTAAATAAGATGAGGTCAGATCCGGTGCATTGAAATATTGTCTTACATCCGCAGCAACATGATCTAGACAGGTAACGAGCCGGCTGCTTCAACCGTGCCGATCAGGGCCAACCCCAGCGAGAGACGGGAGCTCTATTATTAGTTAAAAAGAGTTGTATATTTGCTCTTTCCGCCTGGAATGTTTGTAGACTCTTTTTACAATTGATAGTAGGTTAGTTTACTCATTACTGAGCATCTCGAAGCATGGTTCCAAACACTATGTTTGTTCTTCTTGAAGTTTATAAAAAGAAAAGAACAAAAAAACTAAAACCAAACCAAAGTTGCAATGACCAATCTCAGTCCACTCATGACGTAAAAAAATACAAGTTGGGTGCAATTTCTCCTTGCTTTGATCCATTTGAAAAAAAACTGACATCAGGACTTCCTCAACCAAACTAAACCCAATTCTGATTTAAGAACCAACAAAACAGTAAGCTATGAACAGCAATCTACTTTACCCTTTCCCTTCGTATAAGTATTTCCCATTTCTAGGCTTCTTCTTTCTTTCTTTTCTCTTCCGCTTGTACCGGGGGGTGTCGCGGGGAGACACAGGCGTCTGTCTGCAGCAAGGCGAGTGGCCTGTAGGAGGGACATCCCGTGAGCTCTGAGGGTGTCTGCCACAGATTCACTCCATTGTCACCTTGGTCTTCCTCTGGCTCTCCATCCAGAATATTTAATGTTGTATGCTCTCAGAGCTGGATGGTTTGAGGGCATCTGCGTGAGGTGTCTGAACCACTTGACCTTTTGTTTTTCAATGTGTGGTAGGACTGGTGTTGCTCCTACGGTGTCCATTATGACTTCATTTTTAATTTTGTCTCTTCTTGTTTTGTTGACCGCTCTTCTTAAGCATTTCATCTCACATTTCTAGGCAATCTACTTTAAGATTCTCAGGGTGTGTTTACGAAAAACAACTATAACTTTGACAAATATTGATCAAAATGGATTGCTGACCCCTCAAACTATTGCAAATTAAAGAGACAACATGAACGAGAAATGTGCGTGAATGTAAAAAGTGCATAAAAAAGATTATAAAAGTGAAAATGGGAAAAAAAGATTAGTGGGGACTTACGGCTTGCCGCTTCAAGTGGTGAGCCAGAGGGAATGGGGGAAAAACAAATATTTTTTATTTGTAGTAGAGGGTTTTACGGTGCTCGCAACTGCATAAGGTCATATGAGCGCCAAGGCGTGGGTGTCAACAGAGAGGTCTTTACAGGGAATCAGACTTATTCTGCTCACCTCTCTAGCTTCAACAGCACAAGGTCTGCCTCGACTATCAAGGCACCCCAAAAATAGCAGGTCACAAGAGAGTGACAAACATACAAAAGAAGTAGAGGAAAATGATAATAGTAAGGATTAGGAAAGAAAAAGCAGCAGTTCCCTGTTGTAGATCAGGCACAGTTAGGAGCGTGACATGAATCAGCCCATTTACAATTCTACTGTGCTTGAACGAGAAATGTCCCCCCTTTGGGAATGGCCTAAAGACACTACAGTCAGTGGCACTACCCCGGGGGGCAACTACAGGATTGGTGTACAAACAGAACGCATCTTATTTGAAAGTAGTGACATGCGGAATAGCTGGAACTTACATGTTAAGGAAAAGGAAATGGCATGAGATACTCAAATTGTCGAGAAAAAATATCTCGGCTACTACACAGAGGTGAACATTAGTTGCTGGCCAATTTGACCCCAGAGGCAACATGCCCCAGTCACACTACCCGCAAGTGAGCATTTTTGTTTGGGAAAAGTTTTACGGTGCTCCAAACTGCACTACTGGATTCCAATACGGTCATATGAGCATGCGGGACATTAGTTGGTTATTTTCATGTTAGATCATAGCATATCTTGGTTTCACTTTGCTAGTCAAAATGGTTAAAGTATCTAAAAATATTTGGTAAAACTTTGCTGCAAATCCCGGAATTACTTTCCATGTTTTGATGAAATTTTTTTCAAATCTCATGAAAAATGTAACGGAGGATACATGAAAAATATTCCTTAAATGGCTAAAACTGTCAAAAAGAAAGAGAAAGTTTACATAAAATTTATCTAACACTTTCGTGTCAAAATAAGTCTATTCAGATTCGTTAAAGATTGCATTAGCAGTAATGCTTCATGCACCCTGTGATCTGACGGGATGCTGGGACCATCAGCTCGGGGACCGGGCCAGTTTCACTGGACACTCCCATCGTCCACTCAGTGCTATAGAGTTTTAAAAAACAGCAGTGACCACTTGGCCTGGCCCGTTGACATTTTCCTGTTATGCTATGTGCAAGTACACACACACCTACATTAGTTCTTACTGCAGTCATGAAATGCATTTGAAGACCAGTCAAATGATCACATAGTGAAAAAAAAAAACAATTTCAGCAGTAGAATTTTTATAGTGAAGAAGTATGTGATTGTATAGTAAAAGAAAAGAAAAGTTTCACTTGGAGGACTGGTTCATTATCATATACCTAAGTTTTTGGCAAATAAATTAAAATAACTGGAAGAATATAATTATTTGAGGCATCGGGGTGAAATCAAGCACTCGTCAAAATAATGAAATCAAAGAAATCAGCATTTTTTTTGGCCAATGGACAATTTTAAAATAATTTATTTTTTTTGGCTCAACACCTTTTATGTCCATTTAAAAATATATTTTTGTGTGGATTTTCCAGAAAAACATTGATTAAAAGCACAAAAAATTCAAATTATCAGTTTCCAAGAACTCTTAGGCTATTGAAGTTACCAAATTTTGGCAGCCATTTTCTCGCTAATTTGACTTCTGAAACCAGGAAACCCTGACCTCCTTCAATCACAGATATTTCGACTTCTATTCAACATAAATGGATATTTTTTCACCAAAAAGAAGGCAAATGAACTGGCTCTAAGATGATACCAATAACCCCATATGCCAAAAAATTGACAAGTGCCTGATTCCACCACGTCATGACACATATTTTGATGATTTTCATTACATTCTCACAGTAATACTATACATAGTACTTGCACACACACTGAAAATTTTGAGACTCAGCACAAGTCTGGACACTACTGTTGATTTATGGATGCATTCCCCACTTCTCTCACAGAATGTGAAGAAGAGGACAGCCAAGCTCTCTTTATACAGGTCTGGTTATTTCCTTCTGTAGGCCTATACTAGTTGTGTCGGACTAAATGCATAGATTGGTTACTCTGCTACAGACAATTATATTGCACTGATTTACTTTTACTGTTGCAATTCGATTGCTCAGCGCAAGAAGTGACTATATCCACTTTTGGTTGAAATGGAGTTATCAATACGGGCAGTGAAATTTTAAGCTGCTCTTTTTCCTCTGTAAATATCTATGCCGTAGCTAAATTCCTTATCTAGATATTAACGTTTCTTTCTTTATGATGTTATAGAAATTTCAATATCGTCAAAATTTCAAACTCGTTTTTCTTGAAACTGTGAAAAGTGGCCGTAGTCATTGTCTTCAGCACATCTGAGCAGCATAATACGTACCAGCACTGCTCTCATTTCAGATTAAACTTTTAAAGTCTCAACATCTAGATTTACATTCGGCAGTCTTATTCAATGACAACAATTCAAAGACAATTTAACCAGCTTACTACTTTTATATGTTTGGATGCAAGTACAAGAGAAAACATTTTTAATACTTTTCCAAGAAAATTCAAAATCAGTTTCGATATCCAATGCATTCAGTATGAAACATGGCAAACAGTCACATTTTAGATCATTGATACAACAAATTTCTCAACAGCTTCCTGATTTTTTTTCAAGGAAAAGGACCCTTAACTCTTTTCGGAAGTAGTTTTTTGGGGGTCTAGACTATAACCTGTGGCTCGCTTTGGCTATGCAGGTGGTGTACAAAATAACTTCATAGAAGCATAACCATCACTCCAAACACAACATATGATATATCAAACTGAAGAAAAATGAAAGAGGAATACATCACAATATAAAACAAGGATTAATTTTGAACATAAGTAAGAATTAGAAGGGTTAGAAATGGCGATGGTGATGAGAAAAATAAATTTTGACGGAAAAAATTACATTCACCAAACATGTGAAAGCAAATCAGCATAGCTATCTTATCATATACAGGCCAAGAGCATGATCCATAAATTTCTGAATGCGCAGCTTTTTATTTGAAAGAAATATTCCAATTTTTGTTCAAGTTATGGAATTTACACTGAGTCTGCGTACATCGTTTTGTTGATTCAAGACCGCAAGAACTAATTCACTTATTTTCCCCCAAACCCACGTTTTCACAAAGTGAAAATAGGTGTTTTCGTTTCCTAAATCCTTTCAGAGTTTTTCAATAGCAATAAAAAGTAATTATAAATTACAAATCGAGTTAAAACGAAACAATACTAAAGCACCCTATCACTGCCAATATATCGGCGATACGTCCGCAAAGGGTGAGGACTTGCGCCGATATATCAGCGATACGTCGGAAAAGAGTTAAAATCATTGTACTTCCAATTGTTTCCTTGGAAATTTTGGTTGTGAAAATAAAAGTGTTTGTCAGCATTATGTGTGTGATGTGAAAATAAACTGAGGATATGTGTTTCTATGCCAGTTTAAAGTGTGACAACTACAAGGGCTATTATATTATGTGCAAGCCTCGGACACCAATGCATTGCACAATTCAGTTAGTTTATATTGGAGAAATTTTCTTTTACTCATCATTTTTATTAATTCCTCGCCTCTTTCTCCTTTTTTCACTGCTTTTTTGTTTTTGTTTTGTTCTGTACCGTTTTCGGGGGGGGGGGGGGGGGGGCATATGAGATACTGAGTTCTGAACTCAACTTTTCTGAAAACCTTGACATCCTGCATGGAGGTCTTGTGCAGTGGCATTGGTGTAATGAATCCCTATTTATTAATAATTCAGTAGGTGTCAAAGAGGCCGGGGGCTCTCATGGCCTAGAGGTGCAGTGTTCACCTCTCATTCAATAGGTCTCGGGTTCAAAGCCTGACAACGAAAAACATTTTTCTAAAATATTCTCCTTTCACCTCCTTCTGTCTCCACTTTCTGCCTTTGCCCCCTCCTCTGGGCTCCTGACTCTTTCTGCAGCCTTTCTACTCTCTCATCTCTCTGGTTGATACCAATCCCCAAACCAGGAAAAGACCACTCGGCTCTCAGTGGTTACAGGATGATAGCCATGCAGAACACCTATGGGGACATTCTGGAAAAGATAGTTGCCGGACGAATATCAGCACACTTAGAGAGGAAGTCCCTGTTGCCAAATGAGCTTGGCAGCTATAGACCCCATCGGGAAACCTCAGTGAATGCGGCTGTCATGGCGTACGACATCTATGAAGGCTTTCAGCAGCGGAAGGAAACAGTTGTGACGGCACTTGACCTTGAGGATGCTTACAAACGAGTCAGCTATAAACGTTTGATCGACCGTCTCCTGGAATTTGATGTAGACATATGGCTGGTGAGATGGGTAGCAGTAGCCTTGGTGGAGAGAAAAATGGCCCTGAGACAGGGTGAATGGACTTCAGATCCGGTATCAATTGCTCCAGGACTGCCCCAAGGATCCCCCCTCTCTCCTGTGCTTTTCAATGTGTACACCGCACAAGTAACGATGCATCAGAAAGAATCTGGACGTGTCCTGAGCTTTGCGGATGACATAATGGCATACGAGCACGGAGATGACAGACTTCAGATGGCAAGGAACATGGAGAAAAGACTTCACTCAGTTGTAAAATGGTGCGACCAAAATGAAGCAGTCATCAATCCTTCAATGGCGCAGGTACTTTGGTGTTCCCTCAACAACAGGATTGTCCAAGACATAACTCCACCAATCACTTGCAACTATGAGATTATCGACAGACAGTCAGAGCTGAAGTATCTGGGAATCGTCTTCGACAGGTCGTTATCCTTCAACAAGCATGTGAATCATGTGGTAACAAAGGCCAAACGAGGTGTTGGTGCAATCAAGACCATGGCGGCCGCTCTGATTCCGCAAAGAGTGCTCTTCCTGATGTTGCAGCTGGTCGTCCTGTCTGTCATTGATTACGGATTGGGCTGTCTCACGCTGTCCGACACACAGATCGCAAAGCTGGATCGAGTGCAGAATGAGGCAATGAGAGCAGTGCTGGGCTGCATCAAGGACACTCCAATATTGTGCATGCGCTACTTGCTAGGTTTAAGTGGCATCAGAGTACGCCATAGGATAGCTCAGGCAAAGAAATATCTCAATGTAAAGGGCAAGAAGGATCATCCACTTCACAAAGCACTTCATGACAACAGGAGAGTCAAAATCAAGAGAGGAAAATCTTGGATGGCGGAAGCAGAGGATTCCCTGAGAACAATCAGTGTACCTGAGAGCCTACCACTAGGCGAAGAATGGGAGCAGGTGGCCGGAGAATACAGGGACCTCACCAAGGTCAAAATAAGCATGGGCAGAGACAGAAGAAATGTTGCGGCTGCCATCAACGAGAGCGATATCAACGAGATTGTTGACACAAACTCAAAAGCAGGGGATCCTATAATTTATACAGATGGTTCAGTGAAAAGAGATAGCCAGAGAAGTGGATGGGGATTTGTTGCATTCGCCAAAAATAAAATCATACACAGTGCATCTGGAGCCTGCAGCAGGGCTACATCAAGTATGCGAATGGAAATTGAAGCCATCACGAAAGCACTTGATTGGATGACCCAAGATCGCCCCCACACAACCCATGCTGTTTTTATCACTGATTCCATGTGTACCCTCAGAAGGATCGAAAAAGGTTTCCTGAGAACAGAATGGATTCAAGCTATCGAACCAACACCTATACGATCGCTCACATGGATTTTCTGCCCTGGCCATGCAGGTGTTAGGGGAAATGAAAAAGCCGACAGATTGGCTGGTGAGGCCACCTTAGTTGACAATACGGTTCAACCAGATAGGGTCGAGATCCTGAAATGTCTTTCTCGCCAACTGATTGAGGAGGAAGATAGGGAGGCAGAGGCCAGTACTGCCGTGGAGAGGATGATGCTTTTGGGAATAAAAAAAGGAAGCGGAAAATCTGGCATCCTTGCAGGAAAGAACAGAAGAACGTTCAACCAGATGTGCACTGGCACAATCAGTAGAAGGACCCTCGGCAACATTTTGGAGAGAGCAACGGAGCATCAATGGACATGTCCGGAGTGCAGGGATGTTGCTTCCTGAAACAAGAACAAGAACAAGAAGAGGTAAGATCTAACACCTAGCTTTCTCGGATAAGGGCGAAAATTTTTTGGACATCCCATAAGCAAGTTGCGCACGTTAAAGATCCCTTGGTGGTCTTAAGATCGATAGAGTAGGCTTTGGCTGCCACGCGGGTAAAACTCAAAATTAATTCCTACCAATCTGAAAATGTTTAATGTGTCACGCGCACTCATATGACCATATATATGCAGTTGTAAGTGTCGTAATAAATTTACACCAAAAAAAAGGCCACAAATAAACGCCCCTCTCAGTAACTGAAACTGAACAGTCATGTACTCACAGGAACATGTCCAGCTACCTCTGCTGAGGCTGATTCACTTGGGCCTTCTTCACTATCTGGATGTCGATCATCAGCCAGAAAAGCCAACTAAAACCAAATCCGTAAAGAAAAAGTAAACAGTTTTAGACGGAGCAATGGATTTGTCTTCACCAACTTCTAAAAACAAAAACAATACAAAAATCTGTTTAAAATATATTGTAGAATCTCTCTCTCTCTCTCTCTCTCCTGTATACAACACAGCCAATTCACTACTGTCTATGAACTCTGAGCATACATCAGAGCCGCAGCCTTCAGCATCTTCCCTAAAACCATCGCTATCATCGTGGAACACTTCTTTTTAATACAGTGCATGTCTCAACATTGAAACGACCACCGACTTCTTGACCACAGTGAGAGAAGGAAAAGAATGCGGAACGGTTGAACTGAGCTTCCAAAATCATCTGCTACACAAGCATTACTTCCCGTAAACAAGACATGAAATAAAATTTTGATCAGCAGAAAGTAAATTATACTTGCTGTGGCGTTTCCTGCAACTTATATGGTGATCAGAACTACACACGCTTCTCTGTTTTAACCCTTAAAACCCTGAATTCTTTTTCTTTTTTTTCATACCTCCCTAGAATCCTGAATTAAAATTGAGATACTAGAAAAAATTAGGTTGGTTCATTGTTTTATTTACTGTGTATTTAATTGTTATTAGATTTTACTGAAGTTTGAAAATTTATGAATGCAGTCTGGACAAAAGGGAAAAAAGTTAAAACACTGGTTTTTACAACTCTATGAGTTAAATCTTGAGTGTGATCCCTGACTTCACTTCAGTCAAAGCATCATTAGACCCAGTCGTAGATCTAGCCTCTGGTAGCTCTAGTGGTGATCCCCTGCCACTTCCACTATCGTCAAAACCATCATCGATGTTATGTGGAACATTGCAATCGACTTCAACGGTCATATTTATCGATATATCCGACTGGGAGATCATTATTGGGGTCTGGTTCAGGATCAAAAAGGTCAAACATTTTGCTGCCTGAAGGGCTTGGCAGCGAAAAGTGACTAATTTTTCTTAAAAACTCGCAAAATATCCGCGACAGAGTCATCTGGAGTTACATCCCGTTTCTAGCACTGGTAATTAAAATTGACCAGCAGTATAAAAAAATACGACGTCAGCGGTTACCAGCCGTATAGGGTTTTAAGGGTTAATATTGATCCCATAAATTGTGCAGGATTGGACATAGGCACACGGCTGGGCTCCCCGCAACCGGAGTGGGAAAAGACTCAAGTTAGTTAAATAACTCAAAGACCCATTTTCCATTCATTTTTCAGTTTCTAAAGCAGAATTTCACATCCTGAATGTGCAAACTTCTAAATACTATTACTATTAATACAATGTTACTCCACAAATTTATGTTGAGAAGCACCAAAATTTAAAGAACCATTTCAAAGCCAAAGCAGCAAGACCGCCTTGAGGTCCCAATAATACACAGCTATTTGCAGGAAACCACCCTGTTTAGGACAAAACATCCAAAAATGTCAATGCCAGTTAATACAAGGAAAAGGCTGATAACTAGAGCTGGGCGAAGAGTCGATTCCGGAACCGATTCCCACGATAAATACTACAGATGTAAAGTTCCTTCTCCTTTTTACGTAAACCAGCGGTTTTATCATTAAAAATTTCTTTTTTTAAAGAATCTATTTTTGAAAAATAAAAGTTCGTAGTGTTCCGAAATCAAGGTTAACCTAAATCCTGAAGATGTTCGGAGCCAACCAGGTAACCACCGGAAAAAAAAATCACAACATTAGAAAATAAGTAATTGGGTTCGGAGTCGATTCCGACGATTCCTAGCTTTCAATAATCGGGAACTCATCCGCCCAGCACTACTGATAACCTGCACTTGGTGGAGTATCTTGTGTCTCTTTTGGTGTTATACGTCTTCATGCTAATTAATTCCCATAATTACGTACCGGTACAACATGGTACATGAACAATTTAGTTGGAAAACCCTGTCAACATTGTAAGACACGGGACTTCCAATTCAACAGCAATCTCTAACAGAATCAAGTATAGTGACAATAAATTGAAAATTCTCATGACTAAGGTTAAAAAACGCAAAAAAACGTGATCTTACCCAGACGCCCACAGCTTAATCCAGCGTGGCATCAACTGATCTAACAAAGCACACACTACAATCAAACCTCCACTTCCAAAAGCAGATCTAAGAATTAAACTATCTGTACCAATAGGAAAAACCAAAAATAACAAACCTGGAGGTCAGAACCAACACCGACACTTTGAGAATCATCACCGCTGAGATAAGACCCCTCCTGGGGGAAGGCAGAAAAAACTGTTGCCTGAAAGGAGAGGGGTGGGGGGGACAACTGAACTTTAGATAGTTGGTCCACAAAATCAAAGATTTCTTTCACAATCTGAGTAAATAGCTACACAACAAACACAATAAAGAAGAGACGTAACCCTAACCCTAGGCCTACCCCAAAAAAGAACCTGCAACGGGCCTCATGTAAAAAGGCCAGCACAAGCCAAAAATTTTTTTTTTATTAAAAAATTAAAAACCACACTCCAAAACAAATAAGGAGCACAATATGGCCTACATCTACGTTGCTATAATAGAGTTTGATACAATAACACAATAGAATTGGAATATGAATCCTCCATACAGATCTAGAAATCTAAATATATCGTCTGACACGAGTGGCTTCGCGGATTGCTAGTTGCTGTGGATTTGAAGTTTAGACTAGACCAAGGAGGTTACAGTTTGCGCTAGACTCAACTTATCATGCTGGTGATTTGATTTGATGATTTGACATTGTGATTTGAGACTTGTGACTTGAACTAGGGGCTTGCGAGCACGAGCGGGTTTGCTACCGGGTTACAGCCCTACTGGGTACCCATTCTAACTTGGGTGGAGCGAGAGAAATTTGTAATTTTAAAAAATGCGTTTTCCACAAACACAATGTCCAGCCCCTGGCGGGATTTAAACCTACAACCTTACAGGTTAAAACGGGTACTGAGTTCCAAATTCCGAATTATTTTCGGATAATGCAGACACAGCACTGATCATGTACGCACAGGAATGTGTTCAGCCCCGTCTCCTGAGTCTGGTTCACTTTGACCTTCATTGCCAATTTCGTTAAAACTAGACACGTCTAGATCATCCGGCAGAGATGCAAGCTAAAAATCAAAATCAAAAAAAAAAAAAAAGATAAAACTGTGTAGACATAGCAATGGACAAGCCTTCGCCAACATAAAAGAAATTTTTTAAAAATAAATACATCCAATATTAACATCTAATCCAATAATCTCTCTCTCTCTCTCTCTCTCTCTCTCTCTCTCTCTCTCTCTCTCTCTCTCTCTCTCTCTGGGCTGTCCTTTTGTTTCTCTTTACTGTCACAAACAGCAAGTGATTTGTTTATTCGCTCATTATTTGCAAACACTAGAAACGAGCGCTCCTTTATTTGTGAATAAAACTTTTTGCAAGTAGAACTTGGCACTACCGGGTACCCATTCCAACCTGGGTGGAGCGAGAGAAATTTGTAATTTTAGAAAATGCGTTTTCCCCAAACACAATGTCCTGCCCCTGGCGGGATCTAAACCTACAACAGGTTAGAACGGGTACTTAGTTCCAAATTCCGAATTATTTTCGGATAATGCAGACACAGCACTGATCATCCTGTGGAATTGTTGTAATGAGTCTATATCATATGTCATGTAGGGTCACAGAGGTCAAAGACGCTATAACTAAACCCGCCTCTCAGCCAAGTACTCACAGGAATGTGTTCAGCCCCGTCTCCTGAGTCTGGTTCACTTTGGCTTTCATTGCGAATTTCGTTAAAACTAGGCTCGTCTAGATCATCCGGCAGAGATGCAAGCTAAAAATCAAAATCAAAATTTTTAAAAAGATAAAACTGTGTAGACATAGCAATGGACAAGCCTTCGCCAACTTAAAAAAACAAATTTTAAGAAAACATCCAATATTAACATCAAATCCAATAATCACTCTCTCTCTGTCTCGTTGGGCTGTCCTTTTGTTTCTCTTTACTCGATCTGTCTGTCCCTTCCCTCCAGGATTTTCAATTTAACAGTCATCTCCAACAGACCGAGTATAGCGGCAATGAGTTGAAAATTCTCAAGACTAAGGTTCAAGAACGCAAAATCAAGGATTTTAACCACTGCAGTTAACATCTTATGTTTGTTTTTGTAAAGTGTTTTACGGCGCTCACAATTGCATAGGTCATATGAGCGCGCGGATTTTGCCCGAGTGGCGATAAATCGATTTTAGACCACCAAGGGATCTTTAACGTGCGCAACTTGCACACGGGCCCTCCAAGATTTTTCGCCCTTGTCCGAGAAGGCTAGGTGTAGATCTTTCCTACCAGAAGATCAGGGGTGTGGCAGAAAGACAGCAGTAAGGAGGAGCCAAGGAGTAGCAGTAGAAAAGCTGCAGAAAGAGTCAGGGGCCCAGAGGAGGGGGCAAAGGAGGGGGCAAAGGAGGTGAGGGGGGTTAACATCCTAGTCCAGAATGACATCAACTGACCTAATATTGCACACACTAAAAATCAACCCTTAACTTCCACTGTAAGTAGATCAAGTACAAAAATAAGTGTCTCAACAGGAAAATAAAACCCAAACAAACCTGGAAACTTGAACAATCACTAACACTTTGAAGATTATCACCGCTGAGAGAACCATCTGTCTCTGGATCGGCAGTCAAAAAACCCTCCCGGTAAACGGCAGAAGAACCTGTAGCCTGAAATAGGGGGCAAAAGAACGACTGAACTATAGGCAGTCGGTCAACAAATTAATAGATTTGTTTTATAACCAAAATAAATAGCTCTAGATTTCAGACGGACTTCCAGTTAAATAAGAGTTAACGCCACATACAATAATGATAATAAAAATTACATCTACATGACGCAATCCATACTCTGCAGCATGCTCTATGCGCTTTACAACTATCATTACCCCCATTAGACTAGAATACTCAGAAATAATTTCGGCTTCCTGGGACCCATACAGTGCAAGCGGCGGTTTACACACCCTAAAACCCAAACAAACTGACAAGATCTTTTGTTGTCTGCAGCCGGGTACTAGTGGTGTAGCGAGCACTCAATACCGATTTGACACCCGCGAGCATAGAGGGTGCACTGGAAAATGAGTGGACCACATTGCGAGCAGTAGTGGGTTCAACTAATCACTAATACAGTCCGCAATAGGCCCAAGATGCTCCACTGATCACCCAACATTCGGCATATCCAAAATTTGTAGGCTAGAGACTTGACAAGAAGAGGCTGCGCAACAGGCTAGGACTGACGATGGACTTGCTGTGTCACAGTGTCAGACCAATCGCTCAACAAGCCTAGATTTAGGCATACCTTTTCATTACCGAATCAAGAAACGAGGAAATGAGTTGCAGACATCGGACCCCAGGTTGATAGAATCAACATGTCTCGAAAAGTGCATTGTCTCTTGAAGATCGCTACACAAGGCGCTGGCAGGACAGTGTTGTGACATCTTGAACCAGCCAGCCAAGATTAGTGTCAGTGGCTCAGTGGGCTTGTTCGTTCATGCCGTCACAAACAGCAAGTGATTTGTTTATTCGCTCATTACTTGCGAACACTAGAAACGAGTGCTCCTTTATTTGTGAATAAAACTTTTTGCAGGTAAAACTCGGCACTAGCGGGTACCCATTCCAACCTGGGTGGAGCGAGAGAAATTTGTAATTTTAAAAAAAGCGTTTTCCACAAACACAATGTCCAGCCCCTGGCGGGATTTAAACCTACAAACTTACAGGTTAAAACAGGTACCGAGTTCCAAATTCCGAATTATTTTCGGATAATGCAGACACAGCACTGATCATCCTGTGGAATTGTTGTAATGAGTCTATATCAATGTCATGTAGGGTCACAGAGGTCAAAGACGCTATAACTAAACCCGCCTCTCAGCCAAGTACTCACAGGAATGTGTTCAGCCCCGTTTCCTGAGCCTGGTTCACTTTGGCCTTCATTGCCAAATTCGTTAAAACTAGACACGTCTAGATCATTCGGCAGAGATGCAAGCTAAAAATAAAAATAAAAAAAATAAAAAAGGTAAAACTGTGTAGACATAGCAATGGACAAGCCTTCGCCAACTTAGAAAAACAAATTTTATGAAAATCTCTCTCTCTCTCTCTCTCTCTCTCTCTCTCTCTCTCTCTCTCTCTCTCTCTCTCTCTCTCTCTCCAGGATTTTCAATTTAACAGTCATCTCCAACAGACCGAATATAGTGGCAACGAGTTGAAAATTCTGACGACTAAGGTTCGTTGCATGAACGCAAAATCAGGGATTTTAACCACTGCAATCCACATCTTAGTCCAGCATGACATCAACTGACCTAATATTGCACACACTACAAATCAACCCTCAACTTCCACTGTAAGTAGATCATATAATAATGATAATAATAATGTCAACATCTTAATGGTGCCTATCCATGCTCAATGTCCTTTAAAACTATCATTACCCCTGCAGACCTACGAACACTCAGAAACATTTTCATCTTCCTGGGAACAATAGAGTGCAAGCCGGCAATTACACAAGCTAAAACATTAACAAACTGACAAGAACTCTTGTTGTTTGTAAAATGGCACCCATTCCCATTTGGGTGAAGCAAGGGAAATTTTTTTTTATGTCTTTCCCAAGAGGAAAACGTTTGGCCCCTGACAGGATTTGAACCTGCAACTTTACAGTTGAGAGTTCAAGAGCCTAATCCCTACACCGCTGATGTCACATCTCATAACATACATTTTGACATTTTGATGCAGTACATTATAACTATCGCTTCCCTTTGCACATCATACAAAGCGAGACTTCAAATTAACCAGCAATCTCTGGCACAGCTGACAAAAACACAGGCATTCTGTACTGAAATCTCCCGTAACCGAGGTTCAAGAAAAAGGCCAATTCGTTCAAATGCATGGTTTGGTTTGGTTAGTATAGGGTTTTACGGCGCTCGCAACTGCATAAGGTCATATGAGCGCGCGGGACACACCTAATACTTTTTCGTTGGTAGGAAATTTTGAATTTTGCCCGGGTGGCGGCCGAAGCCTACTCTTATCGATTTTAGACCACCAAGGGATCTTTAACGTGCGCAACTTGCACACGGGCCCTCCAAGATTTTTCGCCCTTGTCCGAGAAGGCTAGGTGTAGATCTTTCCTACCAGAAGATCAGGGGTGTGGCAGAAAGACAGCAGTTAAGAGGAGCCAAAGAGTAGCAGTAGAAAGGCTGCAGAAAGAGTCAGGAGCCCAGAGGAGGGGGCAAAGGAGGTGTTCAAATGCATGCCCGTGTCATCTATCATCTATAACTTACAGCACTAAGTCCTCAAGACAATGTGAAGCTTAAAACAAGATCTACATTTTTCCTAATATTTTTAATAAGCTTTCACATTCAATTATTTCAACCATGCACAGCTGGACATAGGCCACATCTTTAACAAACCTGATATTAAAGAAGGAAAGATGGAAACAGGGCTCAACCTCAGGGGGCTCCAGTGGCTAAGTGAGTAGTGAGTTTTGACTCAAGCAATGTCAAGCAAGTGTCGGTGACACGGGGATCAGATGGGTGGTCACTGGAGTGTGTCCTTGAGCAAGACACGACAACCCTAGCTCAAATTTCAGGGCGCTGCACAGTGGCGACCGACAGTGGCATTGTTTGTAAACTGTTCTGTATTTGTGTAATAGTGTGTATTTATGTATGTATTTATGCATGTATGTATTTATGTATGTACGTATCTATAATCATGTATTTATGTATGTATGTTTGCCATTGTAAAACAAAGTGCCCTTCTGGGACAAATAAAAGTGTAATTTATATTATTATTATTTTTATAAAAAAGGAGATCCTGGGCTGTTATATAGTAGGTAACAGTCCTATCTTAATCCAGTGGATAAAGGGGATATCTAGTTCTGAATTCCGAATAATTTTCTAATAATGCAGACACAGAGTGCTGATCAGTTGGTGGATTTGTTGTAATGAATCTATATCATATATATCCTGAAGGGTCAAAAAAGTCAAAGACGCTATAACTAAACCCTCCTCTCAGAGAGTGAATCTGAGCAGCCATGTACTCACAGGAATGTGTTCAGCCCCGTCTCTTGAGCCTGATTCACTTTGGCCTTCATCGCCAAGATTGTTCAAAGTTTGCAGGTCTGGATCATCCAGCAGAGATGCAAGCTAAAAATCAAATCCAAATAAAAAAGATAGACTGTATAGACATAGCAATTGATATGCCTTCACTTACGTAAAAAAACAAACAATAATAAACAACCATCCTACATTAACATCTAATTCAAGAATATTGTGGTCTCTCTCTCTCTCTCTCTCTCTCTCCTCTCTCTCTCTCTCTCTCTCTCTCTCTCTCTCTCTCTCTCTCTCTCTCTCGTCTGTCCATTTGTCTCTCTTTACCTGGTCCAACTGTCTGTCCCTCTCTCTCCATTCTATCTTATCCCTTCGTAATATCAAAGACAGTAATAACAAATTCATATATGCAAAAAAAAGAGGTACAAATATGTACAATAAAAAGAACAATCAAAATACACATATTAACAGTACAATAAAAACAGGTGCTCAAAAATACTACACTATTGGTTGTCACTTGCAAGTTGTGATCATCTACTAAGTACAGCACTACATGGGTTCTGGACACAAAACTCCATAAGTAAGGTCTCCACCCATTTGGAAAGAAGACCAACCTAGGCCAAGTCGGGTGAGATTGCAAAATATTTTCAAGCAAGCACCGACTTTTTTAAACTCTTCTTTCAATGAAGCATGAAATAAGCCAGCTTTACTTATTCTTATCAAATAACTCAAATCCATACCATACAAGTTTGACGTATGGTGGACTTACATCAAATACCTTCTGAAATTTTTATAACTTCAGTTTATTTTTGAGTCACAAAAGACAAATTTCTCGATATGAAAGTGACAACTGCTAATTACTGTTACTATGAAAACTACGATATACCCCAAAGTTTATTTAATCTTCGAAGCACAAAGAATTTTTAAAGCACAACAACGATTAACCATATTTGCATCCACGACAAATTAAACGTCGATTTCCACACTAGTAGGTTAAGAACAAAACTTAACTGTCCCAAGAGAGATATAATGTCACAAACCTGGACACCCGAATCAAGACAAGAATCTAGTGATGTACGAGGCTTAAGAGAACCGTCTGTCTCTGGCCTGGCTGTTGAAGACCTCTCATGGGGTCTGGAAGAAGCCATTGTCGTCTGAAAGGAGAAAGGAAAAACACTGATGGAAAAAAATCACAGATATGTCTATAGAAATTAAAACAATTAGTATAGATCAATCTGGACTGCGTTCCATCCGACCCACGCTCCTCTCACCACATAGTCCTCCTCATAGACACCTTTCCGTACTACAAACCATTTCAAACAGAGACAGCGAGCTAAATGACCTGCCAATAACAATTGCAAACCTCAGCAAAAACCACACAGTTGTGCTACACTACAGTGGATTCCAATGCACGAATAAGATCACAAATCACAAAAGGGCTCAAAGTAGAGGGGAAAAAAACTGTAAAAGAGCATGTTCTCGTAGTTGGGAGTTGGAAAGACTGGGGGAGCGTAGATGGCTGTGATGCTGAAGCTCTCGTAGTCTTGAAAATAGCTAACATATGTGAGGCAGCATGGTGAAATAAGGCGCTCATCAAAATAATGAAAGTCAAGAAACTAGCATTTTCCCACAAGTTTGGCAACTTTTATCGTTTAAACTAAACACCTTTTATGTTCATATGAAAAGACATTTCCATATAAATTTTACTTCAAAACCTTGTTTAAAAGCAAAAAATGTGTAATTTTCAGTTTTCAAGGACTCTTAAGCTATTGAAGTTACCAAACTTTGGCGGTCATTTTCTCGATAATTTTACTTTTGAAAACAGGCGATCCCATATCCTTCAATCCCAAACACCTCGACTTCTGTTCAAGATAAATAAATAATTTTTTTTATCGAAAGCAAGGCAAATGAACAACCTTTAAGATGTGCCCAAAAAATGACGAGCGCCTGATTCCACCACATCGTGACTCATATAGCCTTAATCTAGGTACCACAAGCGAAAAATTTTTTGAACAATATTGACGTTTAAACCTCAGGGGTTCAAATCTACTCTATGAAACAAGAACATTAAAAAAAGAATTATCAAAATCCATCAATAAACAATCGAGATATGGTATTTCAAAGTTTTATTTTTGAACGAAACCTTTTCAACTGCGACTTTCACTCATGTTTGAGGTGTTCCAAAATACAAAGTGCATGATCTAATCAATGAATCAATGAAAACTTTGTTTTTTCAAGAGCTGTCAACACAAATATTGATATCTCTAAATCAAAGCATGTTAGAATGACTGGTTTCCAAGATATAGGCCTTCAAAAATTGAAAATAAATGCCAAAATTTGTCATTAAGAGCTCAGAACCCTATTTTAACCTCTTCCAAATTAGTCAAAACTGCTTCTTCATTAGTGAAAATCACATAATCATTACAAATACATGCATAGACTTAGCTGAATTTTTTTCAGACCTCTCTGACCATAAGTAACTTTTCTGGACTCCTCTGAAGTGGGCTTCGGTGCAAAAAACGCCTCTTGGAAAAAAATTAGGGGAATTCTGGTACATCCTCGGGCAAAAAGCATCACAACAAGTGAACAAATTAAGCTACAGGGCTAAATCATACATCAAATTAAAGCTCAATGCAAGCTCTACGGGGCCAAATGAAAACTGTTTACTAAAACCTCTCATAACACTCCATAATAGGGCCATAATGCCCAAAAACCTGCCACTATTGAGTGAAAATTATAACATCTGCCGACTGGAAAAAAAATTCATATAAAATCAACAAATTGTGCTACAAGGTTGAATTATATATCAAATTAAAGCTCTTTTCAGGCTCTATACAGTGAATTAGTTTATAGAAAGAAAAAAACCTTCCAAACATTTCAGATATGGACAATAATGTGAAAAAGTCGTCAATATATTGGTTCAGAAAATAAAGATTTCTGCTCAGGGGGTTTAAAAATTGGAATTAAATCAACATACTGTTCTACCGTGGTTCATCTTGTATAATATAGATCTAGTTCTAGATTTATTTATCATTTTAGCTGAGAAAGAAACCAGTGGCTGGGGAAATACAAATCATTTACAATGTATCATCGTGTGTCCAGTACGTGGATGGAAGAAAGAGGGGGGGGGGGGCATCTCCAATTAGCCTATCAGGTGACATCTAAGTCTAACTAAGTCTAAGAATACGTAAAAAGGCTGGTTGATTCAATAATTGAATATATACACCAATCAAGAACGTAGATCTAGCCTTTTTTGTTACCGAATTAAATGCCAAACAATAGATCTACGAACATTTCTATCGGTAACACTAACACCGGGTAACCCCCTTCCGAGTGTTTAGCAGTGTGTGATGACATGTTACTATAAATAGAACTCCCAGTTCAACTCTTCACGGCTTTATTCTTTCACTTTGTCGACCTGAGATGCTTAGATTTCGATGCATTTAGAATAAATAAGGTGTTCTTATTTGAAAAGACAGCAAAAATACCACCACGAAGCGATACATTTGTATAGATCGCAATTAATTCACTATGAGGTGGGGGAAATGTAGGTCGGCGTGATTCCCACGAAACAATAACAATCCAACCACACGGCAAGCGGTGGCCGATTAGTCTTATTTTTCAAAACACGATATTCATAAGTATCCTAAAAGAAAATTATGATAATACTTACGTAAATTGACGCCATAAACAGATCTATCGAATGTTTCTTTTACTGAACCATCATTATAATCGTCTGCTGGTTGGGTCAAGTCAGAGGGGGTGGAAATGGGCGATGGAACAGCCGCAATGGCAGAATGACGATCTCCCGAAAGTGGTTGTTACCTTACTTCAGAAAAAGTAATAATTCTACTTCGTGGAACGTAGTTGGCTTTTCTAAACACATAAACTTGATGGTAGAGATGTCTAGGAATATGATCCTGGCACGTATAGCCCGATTTGTGTCGAATTTCATATATTTTAAAATGCTTTCTTCGTCTTTACATCGTAGGCTACTACTAAAATTAGATGCGTCATTTCTAATTTTAATCGCATGTGGCTACTACTCAAGCTTTCCGCTCGGAATAAAAACATAAACACATCCCCCGGAAATTCTCCTGGAATCCCAGATTTTTATGTTTCAAACCGCAAGAAAATTCGATGATTCACGACTGAGAAATCGAAATTTAAAACAAGTACCCCCCCCCCCCCCCCCCCCCCAAATCTAAGCGCGCAAAATTGCGAGACGGCCGAGTTTTCCCGTGTTAAACTTTAGTCAATTAAAAACTAAATTTGCAATCATAAGTATCAGTTTCTCGTTCACCATGGAGAAGGAAAGACACAGAAAACAGTGGTATAATTTTTATTAGTGTTTACCAAAATTAAAACCAGCTAATAGTTGGATGAAGTTGTCCAAATCTGGCCCCAGCCGTAGCTATCTGCCTTGAAAACGGCTCGCCTGCGGTACCTACTTAATCACCAATGCAATGAATATAAGACGGAATCGGAAGGGAGCCAGAAAAAAATTCCGTCTAAGACAGGGAAATTTAGGGGGAGATGGAAAGGGGGGGGGGAGGGTTCGAAGGCCCAGCCGGTGGGATCAAGGATCGCTTATCCGATCTGCAAGCAGTGGTCAAAACTTCACACCTCTCAACTGCTATCCTGTCTGATAATGACATGCGTCAGTCTTTCTTATCCAATTACCACCAGTGCTTGCCTTTCATAGGACCACTGTTTGACCTATTAAAAACAGAAACGTTTGAACATCTCCTTTGCTTCCACCCTTAGCCTCACCCACCGGTGTAACAAGCAGTCAACCAATGCCACCTCTCACTGGCATCAAGTAACAATGATAAGGAACTCGGCTGGCCGTACGATCAGGGCGGCAGGCATTGGTCAGTCTCATTTCATACCTCTGGCTTCTGGCTACCCGGGAAAGTTTCCGTAGTGGCTCGCTACTCGAGCACTCTCACGGACAGTCGTGAGATATCACACCCACACTACCTTGACCATCTTTGCATCGCTCTGGGCTCACATGATGGGGTAATAGGGTAACATCTACCCCCAAATTGCACCCCTACTCCCCTTCCTCGCCCAGCGGCATGGCTATGGCGTTAAGTTTATAGCCAGCGGAACCAAACTCATGTGAGTTTTGTTTCAAATCAGGGCTGAGCAGGCGAAGCATTTTCCGTCTTAGACAGGTGAAACCCTCGGAAGGGAGCTGATTTTCCTTTCCGTTTCTGCGTTGGACAGGTTTCCGTTTTATACAGGTAATTAAAGAGGAATATATAAAGGGGGGAGCGGGGAGATTCCGTAAGACAGGTTTCCCTTTTATACAGGTTTCCGTTAAGGCAGGTTCAACTGTATATATATATATATATATATGTATATATATATATATATATATAAAAAATATATATATATATATATATAGGTGCACATTTTCAAACAGTAACAAGGTACGATTTTGATCCCATATTCACACAAGAAGGGCATACTATACTACTTCACGCCATCCTGCACAGACCTCAGCTCCAATCAGCCAAGCACAACGAATCTCTCAACCCATCCCTACGATAAGTCCCGAGAGACACCTCGACCAGTGTGAATAAACTTTGTTGAACCCGAAAACCAATAGCCCTCGACACATGCAATACTCACACGAGGTCTTGTCACATACTTAGTGCAAACGCGTCTGAAACAGTTTCATTGACAGGGCTCGGCCTTGATGACAGGCCCAACTAACCAGAAGTCGGATGAAGCGGGTTTTTAAAGGAACAGAACGAAGAATATTGTTAACTCTCAACAGTTCTGGGTTTTGGCCACTTTTTTAAGGTACAGAGGGTGGACGTAGAATAAAAAATCCTATAAATTCCTGTGTAGGTCAACACAAAAAGTGTTGTATATCAATGGAAAGGTTATCGGAGGGACTTTGACTTGATACAATAATTATGTGTGTATGATTTTTCATTTGCATATATGTGACCTACTTACTTGGTATCTAAAAATAGAAAAAAACAACACTTTTTTTCTTATCTTTACAGAGGCAAAGAATGAAAAAAATTTGTTTTCAACGCACGGCGCACCGGCAGTGGAATTTTAGTTGTAGCGGGAGGTTCCCCGCCGAGCGCCTTATCACGTCGGGGTCACGGAGGTCAGCTCCCTATCGCGGCTC